TCGCTAAACACGCGCTGTGCACGTGAAAATAAACATTTAGAATTTTACAGCTCTTCATAAAATACTCCGCTGAAATTCTTCATCATCGTCAGCCACAAGCCAAAGTAAAGTGCACACACTATATATGTGTAGTGGGTGCCTCGCTTATCCGCAGAATGACAAGTAATGGTATAGCCGGGTGCTTGCCTACTTCATGAACGTTAGGGTTATATACCTATTTATTTATTTTTGTTACACTGAATCGATTGATATGTGGGGTTTAACGTCCCAAAACCACCATATGATTATGAGAGATGCCGTAGTGGAGGGCTCCGGAAATTTCGACCACCTGGGGTTCTTTAACGTGCACCCAAATCTAAGTATACGGGCCTACAACATTTCCGCCTCCATCGGAAATGCAGCCACCGCAGCCGGGATTCGAACCCGCGACCTGCGGGTCAGCAGCCGAGTACCTTAGCCACTAGACCACCACGGCGGGGCGTTACACTGAATCGCCGAAGCATTACAGAGGGGAGCCAGTTACATCATGAAAAATAGAAAACAACAAAACAAAACGTGCTATATATGAACAAGACTATAGCAAAACAACATCTCTATCGAGTGAAACGGTACAAAAGTGAAACGTACAAAAACGAAATAGATATAAAAGAATCACGTAGAGTAAATAGTGAATGTGGTGAAGTTATACAATACTAGCGAAAAATGTAAGATAATAGTAGTAGTAGTAGTAGTAGTAGTAGTAGTAGGATTTTTATTTACAGTAAGCCGGATACAGAGCTCACTGCAGGGGCAAAGGGCTAAAGGCGAACAGCCTGACAAAGGCCCTTGTCCCTCCGCAGTTCGTGACAGTGCAAAGCTTAAACAATATATATATTCAATACATTGGTTTCAAGCAACCTGAAATTCTAAACACAAAATTCAAACATAAATAGCATAAGAAGTTTACATAACACATTTTAAGAATTAGAGGTCACTCTCGTTATAATTCACAACTAAACAATATCAATGAAACAACATCGAAAACAGACACAAAATGCATGCAGGATACAATGAATTCCGCTGTATACACTCGTATAATTGACATAGAAGTTGATGAACAATTTAAGCATTTGCAGAGGCATGAGACTCCATCACGTAGTTTCGATAGTGTAGACCGGTGGTTATGAATAAGTTCTTTATTTGTTTCTTGAAAGTCGCACTACTAGCCCTAAAGTTGAATTGATCTGCAAGGGTATTTAAAACCTGAGGTACCTGGTAAGCAATACTTTGTTTTTCGTACTTGGTTTTGTTCTAGGAGCTCGTTTCTTTTGTTCTCGCATACTGTAGTGTGGTCTTTCGGTGCAACTTTCTTCATATAGCTTAGTCTTTTGTATCAACTGAAGTAATTTAAAATGATATAATTGATCAATTCTGAGTATGGAATGTTTAATGAATAGTGGAGCAGTGCGCAAGTCTTGTAGATTCCCCCTGTAATTTTCAAAGCAGCGCAATATTTTCTTTTGTATAGATATTAACTTATGGTAATTCCCTTGTGATGTCGTTCCCCAGGCTAACATCGCATAACTTACTTTAGAATGGAAGAGTGCATAGTACATACTTATTTTTAACCTCAATGGGATTAAGTGTATTGTTCTAAAAAAACAACCAACTATTCGCGCTAATGCGGTGATAAGATGATTTACATGTGTATTCCAGTTTAATTCCTCCTGAAACCATACACCAAGAAACTTTTGTTCCCTAACATGTGCGATGCAATTTCCTTCGAATTTTACAGCTATGTTACTAATAGGTTTGTTTATATGTCGGAATATCACATAGGTTGTTTTTTTTTGCATTCAAGCGCAGTCTATTTTGCCTTAACCAATTTGAAAGATTGCTTAGATAATTATTTACACTGACCTCAAGTGATATTAGATTGTCTGATGTAAAGAAAACATTCGTATCGTCAGCGTACATTATAAGTTCAGGAGAATGAGGTATATCGACAATATCATTTATATAGACAAGGAACAATAATGGCCCCAGTATAGACCCTTGGGGGACTCCTTGGTTCAACTTTATCTTTGCAGAAATAGTGTTATTCAGTTTTACATATTGATAACGATCTTCTAAGTAACTTTTAAACAGTTCTAGTGCAATTCCACGCACCCCATAACTTGATAATTTATGAATCAATGATTTGAATTGTATAGAGTCAAATGCCTTTTGAAGATCGAGGAAGAGCCCAAGAGTATATTTTTTGTTTTCCATATTTTCGATTATCTTATCTTTGATATACAGTAGAGCTTGTTCTGTTTATTTATTTTTTTGAAAACCATACTGACTTTTTGTTATTATTTGGTGCTTATCAAAAAAGGATGCAAGTCTATCATAAATAACCCCTTCAAATATTTTTGATATTGTTGGAAGCACAGATATAGGTCGATAGTTCGCTAAAGTATTGATATCACCACCTTTATGTACTGCAGTGACTTTTGCTACTTTTAGCTGCTCTGGAAATACACCGTTAGTGAGGGTGAGGTTGATGTTGATAATATAGGCCAAGACATTAGATATCAATGGTGACACCATTTTTAACTCAACAGAACCTATCTCATCAATCCCTGATGCAACAGTGTTTTTAAGTTTTCTAATTAATCTTTCTACTTCAACCGGATCTGTGGGTGCGAAAAAAATAGAATACGGCAAAGGAGATTTATCAGGAGTTGGAGCATTATCTCGCTTTTCATCCGTTAAAATAAAGGAACCCGCATTTATGAAATGTTCATTCATGACATTGGCCAACCTTTCACCACTGAAAATCTGACCATTAATTGTTAGGTCCTGTGTCCTATTACAACCCTTTTTTCTGTTCGTAAGCCCATTTATGACCTCCCATAGCTTCCTCTGGTCATTGTAAATGCTTTCAAATAATTTTTCATAGTAGTTCTGTTTAGCCTTCCGTATTTCTGAATGTAAAACGTTTCTGTATTTCTTGTACTCAGCTAAGGCGTCTATGTTCCGCGAACGGATGAAATCATGATACAATTTATTCTTTATTTTTATGCGCCGGTAAAGATCACGATTTATCCAAGGCTTTCTGCATTTCTTATTTCTGCCACGTAAGCGCTTCTGAAGTGGAAATGCCGCATCATAGCTAGTACTCAATAACGTCATGAATGTGTTATAAGCATCATCAGGATTTTCTTGCCTATAAACAGTGGTCCAATCTGTGTTCTGAACTAGCTGAAAAAAATGTTCCCGAGTTTTGCTGTTTTTAATTCGGTGGAAAGATGTCTCTGTTTTCTGACCAATTTGAGAAGTAAATCCTGCAAGAAAGAAGATGGGCATATGATCACTTATGTCATATGCAAATACCCCGGATTTTATATTCTGTGAGCTTAAATTTGAGGCGCATATATCAAGGAGCGTAGCACTTGTTGATGTAATCCTAGTAGGTGAACGTATAAAATTTGTACTTCCACATGTAAGTAAGAGCGTTTCAAAATCTTTTGCATAAGAATCATTGGAACAGAGGTCAATGTTTATGTCACCCATAACTATGCAAGGAGTATTCCCGCGAACAGTGGACAACACAACATTAAGAAACTCAATAAATTTTTTTTGTGGCCATGTGGTGGCCTATATACGCCAATTACTATGAATGGGCCAACACACATTGTAATGCATTCAACATCATCGTTCATAACAGTATACTTATCAAGCAGTTCACTCGAAAGCGTATCCTTAAAATAAATAGCAAGACCTCCACCTTTTTGCTGGTTGCGACAGAGAAGTTCATGACTATAGCCTGGAAAGAACGGCGCATCTTCTTTATAAGTAATCCATGTCTCGGAGAAAACTAGCACATCAAATCCGATAGCTATAGACCATATAAAATTAGCAATGTCGTCGACCTTTCTTTTTATGCTTTTACAATTTATATGCAATGCTTTAAACAAGCTTTTTCCGGATGGAAATGCCCTATTAAAGTCTTCAACACTGTAATACTTTTGGTTATTTACAAGATCAGTCATAGTGGAATGTTTTTCAATTTGTTATGACATATGTCACATCTAATTTCTAATTTTAGCCAGGCTTGGCTCATCCGCAATGTGTATTGCTCGTGATCCTTCATCTTTGCGTGCAATGATTTTGCCGCCGGATGTCCAGACAAATTTCCATGCGGCTTCTTTCTTTTTTTGTATTGCCGCTGCAAGCAATGCCTTGCCCTTCTGCGTCAAATGCTCATTTACAAAAATGGGCGTTTTTTTGTCATCCCCAAGCATAGAACTATCGAGCCTCTTCTTTCTACATTTCGCCAGTATGTCGTCACGTTTTGTTCTTTTTACAAAACGAACGATTATTTTGTTCGCACCAGGCTTAGGAGTGGGAATCCAGTGACACAAATAGAAAATCTAGAAACTGCTCGAAAACGGCGGCATCTTGACACGTGTGGACAGAAAGTGGTGGAGAGGGGAAATAGATGGGATGACTTGGGAGAGCTATCGGGAAATAGAAGAGATGATAAAGAATTACGAAAGAGGGAGTGATCAGAGATAGAAACTATGTCACCTGGTAGATGATTCCAATCGTTTGATGTGACCGGTAGGAAGGAGCAAGAAAATGTGTTTGTGTAGCAGACCTTATGCTTGTCGAAAATGCGAGAGGAATATGTGGGAGGCATAATGAGCTCACTGGCAGTACTTGATGCTGGTAGGTCTTATTGAAAAGGCAAAGCCTTATGTTGCAGAGCACACCTTGCATGCTATTAGTTGTTCCAAGAGAGTCTAAAACGCGCTCTAAAATGACGCTGTTTCAGTTTTCGATGTGGCTGTGCTGCGTGAGCTGCACAGGCGTGGTGATTTTTTTATTGTTACTATTTCAGAGATAATGATAATCTGTTTTCACTACGTGTGTTTTTGTACGTGTGTGCCTGGTAATAAACATATCAATTTGTGTTCAAATCTTGTCTATTTTCGTCTTTTCTGCTTTTTAACATACCAACGTCTGCTTTGCAGTTCCCCCGGAGACACCCGTCATCAGAGACAAGTTTGGCAACAAGGTGGGAAAAGTGGCCGGCCCTTACCGGGAAGGCGAATCACTGACGCTCACCTGTGAAGTCAATGGAGGCAAGTGCTTTTGTATCTGCGCTAGATGATACGTTCTAAGCGAAGCGCTGTGAGCTCAGAAGGTGAGAAGGTAAACACCTAGAGCGTGTTTTCTTAAAATTTTCCGTCTTATGATTTAGGCAAAGGATCGCGCGACAAACTCCGGACGAAAAGGAATATGAAATACCAATTTATAGCCCAAATAACATACAATTTAAAGGTGAACGTATTTGACAGAAACTTCTCTGGACAGGCAAAATTTATACAAATGAAATAGGTTCTTCAGTAATATTAGTTAAATGTTTCTAATGTTAAAATTAGGAACTACAAACTCACCCGTTTTTTCGGGACCGATTTGATCCTTTCTTCAAGGGTGCCCAGCGGACTCCTTTTTTTAGTGTTGGCTCCCTCTCCATCGTTGCTCTGCTCTCCATTCTTGTTGCTGCGGTGTTTTCTGCACTGGTTGCACAGACCATGCACATATACATTCGGCAAGGTCCCACTTCACCGGCTATTGTTGCTAGCTGCAATTTGGATAAATCAGGACTCTTAACAGCTGCGCTCTTTTGTGACGGCCTTCTTTGTTGATGGTACGTTCCAGCGAAAAGATCGACTGCACAAGTGGAGCGAAAGATCCGTTCTACATTTCTCTGTTCGCACAATTTTTCTGTGCACGCACACTGTATTTTCTTCTGCGCGCTTGTGTATAAATCGCGTCACCGCATCGGACCCCGTTCAATGTAAATTTGCTTAAACTGCTAGCATATGAAAGTCTCACTAGGGTGGTTCGTAAATGCTCTGCTATCCGGAGCCCTCCACTACGGCGTCTCTCATTATCATATGGTGGTTTTGGGACGTTAAACCCCACTTATAAATCAATCAATCAAAAACTTTAAATAGGTTTAGCTGGGCATCGCTTACGCTCCGCTCCACATAGATGTAGTGACCCAAGACAGCGCAAAGTACCAAAAAAGTTCGCGTTTTATATGTGAAACAGCTTTTCGGCTCACGCGCGTAATGCGGTACATAAGCGTGCGTCCGTACCATGGTGGTTCGTAAGAACGCGCCGTAACGCGCTTACTTCGCCGCAGGTGTTGGAGTGGTGCCAAGTAGGTCACGTCAACGGATTAAGGAATGAGAGGAGAGGGCATTTCCAGATGGCGCAATGCGGGAAAAGTGTGGAGGCAATGACGTAATGGTGACCCCACCTACGGAGCACAAAGGCGGCGTTGTGATGGTTACGTGTTGCGCAGTGTAGTAGGACAAGCAGGGAAAGGCGGCGACATGGTTGCAGCATGTGCGTCTCCATAGGTTTCGCACTGACGCGCGGTGGAGAATATCCGCGCTTTTGTGCCGCGTTGTTAGCTACGTAGTGCTCTGCCGGTGGTTATTGTATTGGTAGCAATGCTTACGAAGCCTGTTCCTGTTCATAGGCATGATGCCTGAAGACTGCAGAGAACGAGTGCGTATATTCATATGCCCTGCCGAGGATCAATTGCAGTGCTCGAAGTCGCGTTCTGTCACTGTGACAAAACGGAACTTCGATGAACTCCTTCAGGTCAGTGAAGGTCGTGCAGTGTTCCTGCTCGTGACAATGGGCGAAACATTTGGGCGGAGGATATAATGCGCACATATGTGCTTTCATGTTCGATATATGTATAGCTGCCCCACTGTGGTGCTCTAGTCGCTAAAGTACTCGTCTGCTGACCCACAGGTCGTGAGATCGAATCCCGGCTGCGACTACTGCATTTCGGTGGAGGCGAAAATGCTGTAGGCCTGTGTGCTCAGGCTTTTGCTTCGCTTGTCACCGAAGCGAAAAGCACCGCGTTGAGCAACCACGTTTTAGTGTCGGCAACCGTTTGAACAACTGGGTTCGAGCGTCACTTTACCGTGAACAAGTTCACTGTGCTTATGGCGGTGAGCTTTTTCGTGGAACACGAGCACGGTGACGGGGCAACGTGCTGGTCGCATGAACCACGGAATGCTACCATAGATGGCAGCGTACGGAAGATCATATTGTCTGTACAGTGCGTTAACATAAATGTCGTGAAAACATTGGCGCCACACTCACCGTAGTCAGTGCATCTAGCACCCGATCTCTTGTGCTTGCTTCCTTGTCGGCAAGCTATTACTCACTGTTTAATAGTCGGACGTACGAAATGATTTCGCCAATGGTATCGCGCTAGTCCAGAGTGTTGAGCTCCGTTCCATTGGTTTTGGTCTACACGACACGCGCGCTGCGCACCCCACGTCCTTTGCGAGCCGGAGATAGAGCCGTGCCTTCTGCTTCACACTTGGATGTAAACAAGAGAGGGGAATTTGGTGGTGGCGGTAGTAGTGGTTAGAAGAGAAAGAAGGCGCCTAATTTCTGCAGCGCGGTTGGGAGCATGGCGCAGTGCTTCGGAAGAATTTGCCCAGTCAATATGGCCGACTTCTGGCTTCACGACGAGTGGCGTCAAAGCCTCTCAGTTGTTTCTTCTGTGGTCACGCCGCAGCTGTGCGCTCACGTCACGCTCCCCTCCCACGCTTTCCTCCTAGGTGTGTACTGACATCACCCTTTCCCTCATCCGCGGCATGCTCGCCTCTGTGCCCGCAGCTGCCGGCTCTTCCACTCGCTCTGCCCCGTCCTAGGACCACTTCGACCAAATCCGATTTCAAGATGAACGCTGCTACCCGTTCCTTTTGCGGGCGCGAGCCCAGAAAATGAGGGCATGACCAACACCCTCTCGATTTTCTTCGGTATGACGTGCGCGTATGAGTGGCCTTATGTACACGGCATTGTAGAGACGTTGGTACGCAGACGTCTATGATCTGACGTTGCCAACAGTGGCACGTGGTATGGGCAAAATTGTTTAACACAACATGCGTAGTTTATGTATTCGTTGCTCAAGGAGAATAATAAATCTCTAGATAAATAATGAGAAGCAATAACAGAATGTGAGTGTTCATTTTTTTAAATTTCCCCCCCCATTAATTGACACGCGGTGAGGGGCTAATGTGCCAGCGTTTTGCATGCGCTCATGTCCCCGCAATTTCACGGTCAGCGCATCGAGTAGACGTCAACCGCGAAACGCTACTGCGCGTTCGTGAACTCATTGTGCTCTTCTATTATACCGTGCCTAAGCCAGCATTTCTAAACCATCCCGTAGAAACAGGCAGTAGACCTCAAAACAACGCTGGTCAACCAAAAAAATAAAAAAAGAGGCCCACTCGCGTGCACAGGGGTTGGGCTTGTTCGGGCACGTCATGCGCACGTGACCTCTTGGTCAGATGCCAGAGGGGGTAGGGAGAAGATTTGGCTTGCGAAGCTACGCAGAGGAGCGGCAAGGGCTTCGAGCTTGCCTCCTCCCAACCTCGTTTCGCGCCGCTTCGAAAAAAAAAAAACAGTTTTTCAGCTTGTAATGAACCGATTGAAAAAAAAATCGTGCCAAAATATTCCCCATCGAACCCCCAACAACTTTTACGGTCTAACTAAAATTTGGCACGGGGCCTTGTGGGTGGCCCTTTAAAAGAGATAGTCCATAAATTTTTACATGCGCGTCATGTCACAAGGGGTCAGATTGACTCTAACCCGACTTCGAAACCAGTAGACGGACCCGACGCACCCTCACGATCCACTCTATTCACTTATTCTACGGTTATCTACTCGCACGATCGATCATCTCCCACGCACTTCAGTTCCTTCTGCGCGTTTGCGTATAAATCACTTGCGTACGTAGGTCTAATTGGAATGGACCGTAAACGCTCGGCTAAAAGTGTATGTTGCCTTCTAAAAAACCTTGGCTTAGTAGTCTGTTTGTTTGTGAAAAGTCTAGTGAGACATAATTTCATGTTTAATATCTGGCCTTCACTTTAGCCCCGCCGCGGTGGTCCAGTGACTAAGGTACTCGGCTGCTGACCCGCCGTTCGCGGGATCGAATCTCGGCTGCGGCAGCCGCATTTCCGATGGAGGCGGAAACGTTGTGAGCCCGTGTTTTCAGATTTGGGCGCACGTTAAAGAACCCCAGGTGGTTGAAATCTCCGGAGCCCTCCACAACAGCGTCTCTCGCAGTCATATTGTGGTTTTGGGACGTTAAACCAAAAAAAAATCAATCAGCCTTCACTTTATAGCTTGGCATGCATAAGGTTACGAGCAAAATAAAGATTGCGTTCATTGCGTAGATGTTCTTTTATTTCGAGGGCAAACAGCATCCGAAGGCTGAACGCTGTATTTTGCACCCTACGACATTGATAGTATTAAGACGCGTTCAGTGGTTTCCCAGGCCGCGCCCTGTGCGCCTTATCAAAATCCGCTTGTAACGATAACGTAGATGATCTCGGTGTTGTCACGGTGGGGCCGACTTGCGGCGATTGCACTGCAGTTTGTTGGTTAGTCTGGAAACGTGCGTCTTCACCGCATGACTTCGAGTGGTTTCTTGTGTGCTCGTCCTCGTATATTAATACTCAGTGCCAGCTAGCACTACGGGTAAGCATGTCGTAAAACAGTTGTGGGTGACCAGTGGCCTTTTAGGTACCGCAAGAAGGAAAGAATGTCTTTGTTGGGGAGGGCTCCAACGGTATTTTGTAAGAGCTTCCAGCTAGGACTATGGATGCACTGCGTGTCGATACGTCTCCACGATGTATTGAACATCCAGAGAGGCCTTTCACACCCAAAGACTGTGCCAAAATTGAGGAGGCACTTACTGCGCTGTTCTCGGGAGTTTGATAGCGACATGGGCAAGACGCAGCAGCCTGTATGGACACCTGGACACCTGTATGGGAACGAGATGCGCACAGTGTCGACGGTGTGTGTGATATGTGTGCGTGACTGAATGGGTGGGTTGGTAGTGAAAGAAGGCAAGCTCGGCGTAATGTAAGAATCGGCCGAGGCGAATGAAATTCTGAGCAGTGCGGACATATTTCACCTACTGGAAGACTGACCGCTGGCGTTGAATAAATCGGTTGTTGCTGTTAGCCACCGGTCTGCTTATTTTTGTGCAACGGATAGAAGCGCCTCTCCTGTCCACAATGATTTTTATTGT